GAAATTCAATTGGCTTTCAGTCATATTTTCAGCCATCCAAAATTTGACAACTGTCATCTGTCCTCCGCTTCTCTCCTGTCCTCTGAATGTCGCTGTCCTTGTCCCCACTCTCTTCCTTTAAACTGGTCCGCGAGAATCAAAAAGAGACCCTGAAAATAAACTAATCGGATCCCCAGTTGAAGACCCAAAAATACCAAGCTGAAGAACATAGCACTTCTACCTCCTGTGAGAAACAGCTCCCCTCACCTTCTCAACATCTGCATGAAAAAGGGGTGATTCCTTTTGTGAGAAACAGCTCCCCTAGCGAGTGCGGGCTTTTGGTGGCCGCGCTACAGGCAGGCCGCTATCCTGCGCGTCTGCTTGGGCCTGGGGATTCGGAACCCGTCAGTTCGTGGCAGTGCTGTGGCAGGGCTAGTGGAGGGAATACGGTCCGTGTACGCCTATCTACTACACATGCGTATTCTGTTCGGCCCATTTCCTTTACTTGTTCGCGCGCCTGGAAAGACGACATGTCATGCACTAGAAAGGCTGGCCCATGTCCGTGACCTTTATCCCTAACTCGTGAACAAGCCGTCGCCGCACACCTGCTCTGCCTCTCCGTCTCTGTCTCTCTCCCTCAAACCCGACGGCGGCACTGGTTTCTCTCCGGCGAGCATCTCCCTGCCCCTTGGCCCTACCCATGTACCCCGTGGTCGTGGGAAATTCTTCGCCACACGCCGGCTCTTCCGTTGGGTCTCTTTTCCCCAACCTCGACGGCGCCAGGGTTTGCTCTCCGACGAGATGTGCTCCTTTGATCTTGAGATGCCACGGGTGCATCTTCTCTTCTTATGGCCCGGAGGTCATGGCCGTGTTTAGATTCGCATCTTATTCTTTGGATTTGAGTTCATTTGCCTCACCACGAACCTTTCTGCAGGATCCATGTTTCAGACGTTAGAGCCGATCCCTGATGCATTTCCCGTGGAGTCGCGGGATTTCATGAGCATCGCCGATACCCAGCTGGGCCGCGGCGGCGAGGGCACCCTCTGTGCGGGGACGCCGGCTTAGGTTTTCTCAGAAGCCACCAGCGGCTGAACCATGAGGTAATTACGGATCTAAAAATCTCTCATGTACCATTTTAAGTCGTTTGATTTCTCGGATAAGAAGATGCGCCTGTTTGAGATACAATTTTCTTAGCCAGAACGGACCATCACGTCTAGTTTCAGTGTGAAGAAAGCTACTATTGTTGTGTATAGATTGATTTTCAGTATGGAAATCCCGTGGTGAGAGCTGGAGATTTTTGTTTTGGTTGGTATTCAGTTATAGGATTTGTTGGCATCATTATTATTTGTGTCTGATTTCTAGTTGCTGCTGGTGATTTTGGGATCTGTAATCAATCTGGAAAAATCGAGGGGCATCTCATATTTCTCCATTAAATCAGTCATCCTATACTTGACAATTACTGAAATATTAGGCCCTGCCGTGCAATTTTTTTTCATATCCTGTTTTTAGATGCAAATTGGTTAAATGACACTGATTCTGCCATTTAGTGCCAACATTGAGAAAAAATAGGATGCATTACGTGTTATGGTTTTGAAACAATTATATTCTTTTCTATTTTTCTATCATAAATATGCTATGTTGTTCTTTTTGCGAAGAAAATATCGTATGATGTTTACTGAACTGTCAAGGCATATTGTAAATGGGCAAACAAATATATGTTACCACTGACTCATCTTCGTCCTCCCAATCCATCAGCGGCTGTCCTCCATGGATGAGTTTGCCGAAGCGCGGCAAGGTGGACCATACAGGTAATGAAGTGCTCCAAATCTTCCAGTCTTGGTATCGTCGAAGCTGAAATTTGCAACGCTGCTGAGCTTGGAAGCGGTGGGCAAAGTGGTGGATTCCCCACTGAAGCCGGTGTGTTCCAAGTTTGCTCTGAAGCTACCAGTGGATGGACCATGTATTTTTGTCAAATTATTAATGATGCCTCTGTAGTTCTTCGTGATTTAATACAACAATTCCTCCTATACTATTTAGTGGCTGAAAATTTTCATTGTTATCAAGAGCTTACTTTTATTCTTAGTAATTCATACGACACAGTTCTGGCTATTGAAGCTGTCCTATTGACAACTGTTGCTGTTTCATATGATACTCTCTTGACAGTAGGAACCTGATTCATGTAGATTTTGAAATGGCCAGTCTTTTTCTGGTCTGCACATTTGTTGGAATTTTATGGAGCCAACTCCATTGTAGGTTTCGCCTTATAATCCAAACTAATAATTATGACCTCGTTGAAACATGTTTGGTGATTAATACACTTCAGAAATCTTGAAAAGAGTATTGATGCTATTATTGCTGCTAAAATTTCTTTTTCTTTTTGATAATCATGATTGAAAGAGCCTGGGTTATTTTTGTACTACATTTTGTTCTCTAGTGCGCAAGCTGCTTGTTTCATTGTTGAGTAGATGACATTGGGTTGATAGAACCACATTCATGTAAATATTCTGATATTCACCATGTGCTTTTCTTTGTTGGCAGTACGGATGATGCAATAATTGAAGATATGAAGAAGGATTACATGGTCGCGCAAGAGATCAAGGAGAATAACAAATAAGCTTTATGCAATGGATAATTTGCAAGGCAAGGTTCTCCATGCTTGTATGTACGTTGCTGCTTTTGGAATTTGGCAGTTGCTTACTGGTCATGTTTGGTGATTGATGCTGAATTCCTAGATACATTTTGTAAACATTTGGATTTGTCCAGGCGCATGCCTGTATGTACTAGATGTTTACTTGTTTTCACTTATCTGCAGAAGTGGTACGTTCCCTGTGAGATTAAATTAACTAGGTCCTAATAATGTATTATGTAAAAATGTATATTTTAATGGAGGTGTATTTTCTGGTCACCATACCGTGTTACTTGTCCTGATGGAACGAATTACCTAGTTCCTTGTTATCGGGCATGCAATTACGTTAATTCTGACTATAATTACTCCATCTCTGGCGATGCTCTAACAAAATTTAGTCTTTGGAGTAGTCACGTGCATGCTCAATGTCCTCCAGGGGCCAGGGCCACTTGGAGCAGGGTGACAGACTGACATTACGTCAGCTTGGTCAGTTGTGCAGCACATGCTAGTTTGGTGCATTGGGATCGCCACCATAGAACAACTGTTGGACATGTACTAGAAGCTAGATTCTGTCCCTATCGCCAGCCCGGAATACACGCGCTGGAAAGACTCTACGGGGAGGCAGCATGCGTGAATACAGGGCCAGCTCGGATCCCAAGCGCGGACGGGCGGCCTGGATTCCGGCTTGCCTGATGCTCGGCCTCCACTCGCATTTTCCGCTCCCCTAGCCTTCTTTACAACCCACACTGGCAAAGCAGCGAGAAAGGCAAAAAAGAACCCAACGTTACAAGGCAAAAATTTCTGATCTCTAATCTAAAACTAACAACACACAATTAAAATGGAAATGACAAAAACCATTAAAATTACACTATAAAATCAATTAAAATTACACTAAGATTTACACTATAAATACCGCTGTAAATCCACTAAAAACACTATAAATCCAGTTTGAATCCACTGTAAAATCTACTACACTAAGAAAAACACTGAAAATCTGGTAGGAATTACAGTGTAGATCCAGTAGGAATTACACTGTAATTCTATCTAGATTTACACTGTGAAATCGACCTAGAATTACAGTGTAAAATATTGTAGGAATTACAGTGTAAATGTACCTAGAATTACACTGCAAAATCGACCTAGAATCACAGTGTAAATATAGTAGGAATTACAGTGTAAATGTACCTAGAATTAATCTGTAAAATCGACCTACAATTACAGTGTAAATCTAGGTAAAATTACAGTGTAATTTTACCTAGATTTACACTGTGAAATCGACCTAACACTGTAAAATCGACCTACAATTGCAGTGTAAATATAGTAGGAATTACAGTGTAAATGTACCTACAATTACACTATAATTCTACCTAGATTTACACGGTAAAAATCGACCTAGAATTACAGTGTAAATCCACTTAGAATTTCACTGTAAATCTACCTAGAATTACACTGCAAGCGGAAATAAATCCATTTTATCAGGGACTAGTAAAAAAACTGGAAGAGGACATGACCAGAAATAAATCCACTTGTTCTTATCTAGTTCCGAGAAATGCTTAACTGTATTACCTCTCCAGACAAGTACCCTAGGCTTGGTATCATGTAGAGAATTCAGCCCAAAATGCACATGGTCAGGATATGAGACCTAGCAGAAAAAGAAGGGGAGGCTAGTTCAACATCATTACACACAAAAAAACAGCATTAAAAGGATGCAAAAAATAAAGCAAATAATTCTAAAAAAACAAGACTCACAGCGAATGCGTAGTGACAACCGCCAAATGCCACTTATCTCTTAGAAGCAACCTTCGTAGTATCCTTAAACTTTACTGCCAAGGAGACTCTCATATACTCCCTCCGTCCCATAATATAAGAGTGTTTTTTACACTAGTGTAGAGTAAAAAACGTTCTTATATTATGGGACAGAGGGAGTACCAATGTACATAAATCATAGTTCATCACAGAACTACAATCTCTGAAAATGTGGAGATATTTGGGACAAGGAGAAAGGCTTGAATTTGGACACAAGAAAGTGGACAAGGCAATACACATGAAGCAGATGAAAAGGTCTACATCATGCAATTATTCAGATTTGAGTTTATTGCAGAAGAAAGAAACCGGTGGGATGCTAGTCACATTGAAATGGGACAAGATAAACTCACGCCCAGCCTCAGCATCAGACACAATGGGCTCACCATCAACAGGAAGATCTAAGATGTCATGGATGACATATTTGGAAATCAGAATAAACTTCTTCCTAATCTGAATCTCTGAAGCAAGAACATCAAATTTGGACGCTAATCATTTGACAAACCTAAGAGGTACCTCTGTCCTCACATATTTGAGAAGGCAATCTGCCCTATAACTCTGAAGAACACGGACTTGCCTAGGAGACAAGCCACCAATAACAGTGGAGAACAACTTGAGTATCTAGTGAATGTATTGGCTACAGGAAAATCAGAAGACCTCTTGCACTTCTACAACACAACAAGAAACACAAACAAAAGAAAAAATCAAGATAAATTACACTAAAAATAAACAAAAGAAAGACATCTAGCAACAACAACTAGAACTATATGGAACTAGGTTCTTGTCCATTAATAGCCATTCCACAAAAGAATAGATATGATGAAGATTACAAAAGGAGTTATCTAAAACTTATATCCATATCTATCATAGAGAAGTTGCATGCAAAAAAGGAAATATAAACAACAGCAAAATAAAATACCACATTGCGAGCTCCAACATTTCTAATCTTCCGTTTTAAGCAATTCACTTTTTGCAAAAACATAAAAAAGAGGAATTATCCATTAACTACAAATGTGCATTAACTGATACAAAAATGAAACCGGTACAAAAAAGCATTAATAGAAGAAACTGGTACAAAAGCATCAACTAAAGCACCACACTTACATGAGACACGTAGAACTCATACAAAGCTTTGTCGAAATCAGGATCATCCATTTGTCCTTCCTGCAGTTAACAGATGAAACAAGTGAATGAACTAAAAAACAGAAACAAATAAGCTACCAAACAAGAAATAAAAGAAAATAAAATGAATAAAAAATCAAATTAGAAATATAACCTCCGAAGCTTGAAAAGGATCATCCTCCGCAATATCATTAGGGACAAAAGGACCCCCATCTGAATCATCACAATCTTCAACACAAGCAGCAGAAGTACCCTTACCAAAATCCTTCACGAGTCTCCCCATACTTCAATCTATAACCTAAATATGTACAAAACAAAGAAAAGGACAAAAAGTGTGAGATGAAATGGCAGAAGGGATAAAACATAACGAAAATATAAAGAAGAAATGCATTGATAGCATTTACAATCTACATCTCTTTTATTTCACTACATAACCCACTGAGAATTACAGTGAAGAAATCCCCTGCGAATTACAGTGGAAACCAACTGAGTTACATTGTAAATACACTGTAATCACCCACTAAGAAAAATACACTGGAATTCCGATGAAGATTACAGTGTAAATCCAAATATAATTACAGTCTAAATCCTCTAACAAAATACACTGGAATCAGATGCATCACAAGAACACACAAACTAGCGATGCATCAGAAGAACAGTCACAATTCCTCTGCTACTCAATTACAGTGTAAATTCACTGACAAAAACACTATAAATCCAAAACGCAATTCCATTATAAAAATTCAAGTGAATTACACAGTAATTCCACGAGCGAATACAGTGCAAATCCATGGCAATTACACTGTAAATCAGCTATCAAATTACACTGTACATCCCTGACAAATACATTGTAATTCTACTAACAAATACAGTGCAACCCCACCGACAAAAATACACTGCTATTAGGACATATACATTGTCATTCCAGTAGCAAATACAATGCAAATCCGCAGACAAAATACACTGAAATTACACTGTAAAATAACCGGGGATTACACTACAAATTGCTTTGGATTTACACTACAAATATACTACCTATCCACTAGAAAATTACACTGGAAATCAACTACAGATTACAGTGAAAATCAATGAAAATCCAGTATGAATACACTGAAAATCACTCTAAAAACAATGGGGGTTGCACTGTGAACCACTGTAAATCCAAAAATAGGAATTACAGAGTAAGCCACATACCCACTAAACGATACCAGTGAAGAGAAATGGTCTAGGGATTAAAGGCCGGGGAACAGAATGCATCTGTTCGAATTGACTGAATACATCAGACTACTACAACTAAGCAAGCCAGCCTCACATGAACAGCTCGAATTCCAACAACCAATCAATTACAGATAAGCAGATCAAACTGACGCACATCCGAGCTACCGCAGCTACCGTGCTTAGTAGAACAATCAAACACATCCCTGAAACGGCGGAACCTAACAAATCTACATGGAAAAAAGTTGTGGGGGATGGATACAATCATCAGATCTGACAGACAAAACCAACTCCCTACCTAACAGATCACAGGAATAACAAAAAGGGAGGGGGGCAAACCCAAATCCGACGAACCAAATCTCTAGCGCCGGAAATGGGGACGGGTCGGTGCGGGGCCGAGAGATGTCGCAGATCCCGCCGGCAGGAACAGAAGGGAGGCGGAGGAAGCAGGGCAGCACGAGGAAGAGCGCGGACGAGTCACCACCAAAACACTAGATCGAGCGGCGAGGCGGAGCTCCAAATCGCGATGGCTATCTTTCTCTCACTCTCTCTCTCTCTCTCGCTTGACTCTGTTCAGGTTTGCGTGTTTGAAATGACAAAGGGGATGGGAGGAGGAGGCCGACATAGACACACGGGTTGCGATGGAAAAAATAACGGGTCAACCACACGGGCCCGATAAGAGAAACAAGACAAATAACGGTTCAACCACACAGGCCCGATAAGAGAAACGAGACAAATAACGGGTCAAACACACGAATCTTCGCGCACAGATCACACGGCACAGAAAACGAATGAAAAGCGAATTGTTTGCTGGAATTTATTCTATATTGGGGGCAGCCCAACAACTATTTCAGAAATTTCTAATAAATCCTAGAGGCCCACTTAGCCCATTTGTGCAAAGCAAGGGATACTACTAAAGTTTAGTCCCACATTGCTAGTTTAGTGGGAGTTGGACCTCCTTATAAGGGAGGTTCTTTCCCCACTTGTATGAGAATGAGAATAAGAGGGATATCCACGCGCGCGGAGAAGGGTGATAAGGTTTTTGGGGAGCGCTCTGCGCGACTACTGACTGATTCCTTCGTCACGGACGCCCCGGACTATGTCGACAACCTCCTCGACGATATGGCTGGCGAGGACACCGATCCTAAGTCCAGTGCTATTGCTGCTGCTGTTCCGTATGTGTTCTTATTTCTGTTAGATATCCTGTCATAGTTTCTCGTACTAGTACTTGTCTTAAATAGCTACGGTTCATATATGCAGAAGCTATTTACCTTCTCTCTGTCAGAATGCATGACTTGTTTTATCTCTACTATATTAGTCATGCTTTATCTAGTATTTCTGTTAATAAAATCATTTGGTAAATTGCTCATATTTCCAACAATCCAAAAACCTTATTATAGGCAATTTACCCCAAGTGGTTTTGCTGCTTCCATGAGACCTCCTATGTTTGAGGGTATCCACTATAAGAGGTGGCGCGTGAGAGCAGTCTTATGGTTTCAAACCATGAGTTGCTATGACGCCACTCTCGGCAAACCTGAAGGGGAGCTTGATGCTCAACAGGCACAAGCCTTTCAGAAAATGGATACTCTGTTTAAGGCTGCTCTCTTTGAGTGTTCTTGGTGAGAACATAGTTGCTGCTTATGCGTCAATTGATATTGTAAAAGATATGTGGGATGCACTCGAGGCCAAGTTTGGGGTCTCGGATGCTGGCACTGAGTTGTACATCATGGAGCAATTCTATAACTACAGGATGACTGAAGAGCGCTCCGTGGTTGAGCAAGCTCATGAGATACAGTCATTTGCTAGAGAACTTGAGCACTTCGGTTGTATGCTACCGGACAAGTTTGTTGCCGGAGGTATCATCACTAAGCTTCCTCCTTCATGGAGGAACTTTGCTACCTTGCTGAAGCATAAGAGACAAGAGTTTTCTGTCCCGGATCTCATTGGCACTCTTGATGTGGAAGAAACGACGAGAGCAAAGGACACACGTGCTCGAGGTATTGAGGGAGACTCTAGTACCAATCTGGTACAGAAGAAGAACTTCCAGCCCCACACGTTCAAGAACAAGGGCAAGTTTGATGGTAAAGCAAAGTTTGATAGGAAGAACAAGGTTGTGCAACACACGAACTTCAAGAAGAAGAATGACAAGAAGAAATGTGTCTGTCATGTGTGTGGGGATCCTGATCATTGGGCTCCTAGTTGCCCTAGTCTCTATGACAAGCGTCACCCTGGGAAAGGCGGCAAGACCGCTAATGTTGTCATTGGAGATACTGACATGAAGGATGATGGGTATGGTATATTTCCCACTATTCTTTCAGTATGTCATTCTCCTGATTGGTTGATTGACACAGGTGCTAATGTGCATGTATGCGGTGATATTTCCATGTTTTCGTCTTATCAGACCGCAGGGACTTCAACCGTGCTGATGGGCAATGGTTCAAGTGCTTCCGTTCATGGTGTTGGCACGGTCGATCTGAAGTTTACTTCGGGGAAGATCGTGCGGCTGAAGAACGTGCATTATGTCCCCTCCGTCAATAAAAATATTGTTAGCGGATCTCTTCTGTGTAGAGATGGCTACAAGCTTGTCTTTGAGTCGAATAAATTTGTAATATCCAAGTATGGAACCTTTGTTGGTAAAGGCTATGAGTCAGGAGGTCTATTTCGTTTATCCTTATCAGACATTTGCAATAAAGTTGTTAATCATATTTGCAACAATAGTGAATCCAATGTGTGGCATTCACATCTCTGTCATGTTAATTTTGGTTGCATGTCGAGACTAGCGAAGTTGAACCTAATCCCTAGTTTCACCACTGTCAAGGGATCTAAGTGTCAAGTTTGTGTGCAAGCTAAGCAACCTCGTAAGTCTCACACGACTGCGGAAACGAGAAATCTTGCACCACTAGAGCTCATACATTCAGATCTATGTGAAATGAATGGTGTTTTGACAAAAGGTGGAAAGAAATATTTCATGACGTTAATTGACGACTCCACTAGATACTGCCGGGGGTATATTTTGAAATCTAAGGATGAGGCTTTGAACTTTTTCAAGATCTATAAAGCTGAAGTGGAAAACCAACTTGATCAAAAAATCAAGAGGCTTAGGTCCGACCGTGGTGGAGAGTATTTTCCCAATGAATTTGATGCTTTTTGTGCGGAACATGGTATAATCCATGAGAGGACGTCTCCCTACTCACCTTAGTCAAATGGGGTGGCCGAAAGAAAGAACCGTACTCTAACTGATTTGGTTAACACCATGTTAGACACATCGGGTCTCTCCAAGGCATGGTGGGGGGAGGCGATATTGACCGCATGTCATGTCCTGAACAAAGTCCCCACAAAGAACAAAGATATAACTCCATTCGAGGAATGACAGAAGAAAAGGTTAAAACTCTCTTATCTGCGAACATGGGGTTGTTTGGCGAAAGTCAATGTTCCAATTCCAAAGAAGCGGAAGCTTGGACCAAAGACTGTGGATTGTGTTTTCCTGGGATATGCTTTTCATAGCATTGGTTATAGATTCTTGGTTGTAAAATTTGAGTTACCTGACATGCATGTCGGTACGATCATGGAGTTGAATGATGCGACTTTCTTTGAAGATATCTTTTCCATGAAGGATATGGCTACCTCATCTAATCAGGAGATGCCTAGTTCATCGAATCAGGAACCAGTTACAATTACCAAACCTGCTATTTCGATAGAACACTTTGAAAGTCCTGTGGAGGAAAACAATGAAGTTCCTACTAGGAGCAAGAGAAAGAGGACTGCAAAGTCCTTTGGTGATGATTTTCTTGTGTATCTCATAGATGACACTCCCACTTCTATTTCAGAGGCTTATGCATCTGAAGATGCTGACTACTGGAAGGAAGCGGTTCGTAGCGAGATGGATTCCATCTTAGCGAATGAAACTTGGGAGATAATTGATCGTCCTTATGGGTGTAAACCTATAGGATGCAAATGGGTATTCAAGAAAAAGCTTAGGCCTGATGGTACTATTGAAAAGTACAAGGCTCGGCTCGTGGCTAAGGGTTATACCCAAAAGGAAGGTGAAGACTTCTTCGATACTTACTC